GCTACGCACACAGCAGGTGCGAGCCGCACAAGCCACGATCACCCGGGCGTGGCTCAGGTACAAAGCATGGCAGCACCACATATATCGTCATCGAGTATGGCAAAGGCAGCTACACCGTCTTGCGCAAGAGTTTGGAATGACCACGCCCAACTTCGAGGGGCTGCCACCCGCACAGCACTGTGGCTACATATGCTATGAGTGTGGCAAGATATTAAAAACGAGGGGAGCATGGAAGCGCCATCGCACCATGGAACACATCGGCTACGACCTTCCCGAATTGCTTGCCCGTTCGACTACCTGCCCTGGGTGCGGGAAGAACTTCATAACGAGATCCCGCATACTCAAGCACCTGAGAAGGTGCCCCAAATGCCTGGCGGTCCTCCAAGCAATCGAGGTCCCAATGGATTTGCAGGAGGCAGCCGAACGCCGAGAAGAAGAACGAGAAGCTGTGGCGGCGAGGAAGGCAATGGGGCATGGAGCTACAAAGGCGCTGGTGCCCGCCCAACAGGTCATACAGCTCAAGCTGGCCGACTACATAGAGCAGCATCAGCTTCAACTCTCGCCGGCCCCGCCTGCAGCAGCGGACGTCCAAACAGGGACACCACCTGCAAACGTATTCTCACCGTGCAGGCCCATGGTTACCACGGCTATGTTCCTGCTGCACCTTTTCTCGGGCAGACGTCGAATCGAGGATTTCCAGTACCACTTCGAGATGAACATTCGGGAATGCAACTTGGTAGTACTATCGATCGACGTGCAGATAGACCCCGTCAAAGGAGACCTGACGAAGCCAGACGTCGTCGAGTTTTGGTGCGCAGCGATAAGACAGGGCAAAATATTTGGTATTGTGGCGGGCCCGCCCTGCGAGACGTGGTGCTCATCGCGCTGGCGTGCCGCCGAGGGGAAGGCACCACGACCACTACGTACACATGAAGCCCCCTGGGGCATACAAGCAGCTAGTCAAGCGGAGCATCAGCAGATCGCACTAGCCAGCGAGCTATACAGGACAGCTTTACTACTCATCACCACGGGCTTGCAGTACAACGTTTCAGCCGTACTCGAGCATCCCGCCCCAGCCACCTGGTGCCCTCAAGCGCCTAGCAGCTGGCAGCGAACAGAGACTCTCTGGCTCCTGGAGCAGACGGGCGTCGAACTTCACTACATAGACCAGTGCCAGTTCGGGCAGGATGCGAGAAAACCAACATGTCTGATGGCGGCACACCTCGGTGAACTCGCACAGGAGCTAAGGGCGGTACCTGGTGGACAGCTATGCCGACATACGGGACATGCCAGAGCTTACGGACGAGACGGCCAAGGCGGCTGGAGGACCGCCCCCCTCAAAGAGTATCCATCAAGGCTGTGCAAGGCAATGGCTTCCGCTTTCGCAGCCCACTGGGGGCAGCTTGCTGACGAAGAGGCAATGTGGGCCGAAACGGACGAATGTTACCACAGGTTCTACGCCCCCTTGGACCACTACATTGAGCCAGATCAGATCGGACATGATTGTCACAGGGCATGGGGCAACCATCGGCGCTAGCGGCTGGCACTGCAGCGGCCTATTTGGTGCAGCTAGCCGAGTCAAGCGTTCAGTATTATATACTTCAGCCCCGCAAGGGAACATTGGTCTGCATTTTGGCGCAGACCGCCGGCCTGCTACAGATTTGAGGGCAGCTGGCATTACAATATTGTATACAGAGTATTTCAGATTGGCAGCAGACGGGTCAACATCAGCGTACCTACTGCATGGCCCAATACCCCGTTGACTGGGGTACTGGCATGGCTGCGCCCTGGACAACGATTGCGTGCCAACTCGAGGGGGGGGGGCCCGTAGCGCCCATACGGGTGGGCACGATCCCTCAATGGCGACGGAGCGTGCCCCCCCCTCGAGCACTTTCTGGATTTATCGACTTTCCTAATATTGACATTGATTTCTATGATTATTCGCCCTGGACAGGCATTACGGCGTGCTGCTTAAGTCCTGAGGAAGCCCCGAATGCGTGGGAAGACCTCAGGCAGCGTCGCCAAGTTTTGCTATTGTTAGAACGCAAGACCTGGGGAAGCCCCGAATGCGAGGGAACACCCCAGGCACAAGTCGCCACGTTTTGATGTGTACCTCGGCGGCTTGGATACCTACAATTTGGATGGCGCCAGCTGGCTGGCAGCGGGCGGCTCAGTGGCCGTCGGCGTACCACCGACCGACATCGACAGCATACCCAGCACGACCCCCCACAACTCCTGCCAAGTCAACGCTGTCCTGGTGAGGATCAAACTTCGAGACGGGCTCGAAGGGCTGGGGGGGAAGGACGAGTACTTCCCGCGCCCGCCAGCGGGGATGGTGAGGGGCAGGGGGGGGGGGGGTAGGACGGCCACTACCCGCGCCCCCGCGGTCCGCCCTAGATCGCCACCCCCACCATTCCCATGGAGAAGGAGGAGCTACCCGATCGTCCGAGGGCGAAGCTGGACAGCCGAGACACCCCACTCCGACGATAACAAGTACCAGGCCTGGGGTTCGCCCCCACCGAGGGCACCGTGACCCCTAGCCATAGCGGGACGAGGTGGGACAGCAACGACCCCCACTTGAAGTCGGTGCATGGAGGCCTTGGAAGCACACAACCAACACAACACCAGCAACGAACCGACCCCCAACGACCGTCCAACTCGCTCCACATCCTGCACTCAGCCCCCATACATCGACATCTACAACATCAGATGATCAGCACCCCCCTGCCCTTCAAAAGCAGGAGGGTCATGACTGACGTCGGCAGCACCGCGGCGCTACAGGGGGCCCCACAAGGTGCAGCTCTGCGACGTCAGGCAGTACTGGAAGCCATGGAGTACTCGACCAGAAGGGGCAGCCTGCCCCGCGGTGAAGGAGACACAGCGCCTGGCGCCGAAGGGTGTCCCCCCACCGCCCTCGCGTGGCAGGCGAGGAGATTGCTGCAGAGACGCCGAAGTCCAAGAGAGGCTCGGCGGGCCTCCACAGCGCCAAGCGCCGAAGGATGGAGGCCGCCGCAGAGAAGGCGGCCATCCACCTGATGACCGGGCGGCTGGGCTCAGCGCGAAGCGCCGAAGGGAGCCCGGCCGCCACGCAAGAGGCCGACCGCCCACAAGGAGGCCGAAGGCCTGGCTGCGCGCCGAGCTGGCTGAGCTGGCACGGGCGAGCGCGGCGCCCGCTGAGGGCCCAGACGGGCCCTCATCTTTGTAGTTTTTCTGAAACCCGGCCCCTCTTCTCCCTTCTCTATGATTATTTGGTCCCTGGCTCCCTGCTTTCCTCGGGGTCGGGTTCCCGGGGCCGCTGTCTGAGTGCCCGCGCGGCCCTGGAGGGCCGCTGCAGAGCGCTCCGCGCCCGCGGGGCGCGCGACAAGACGCTGCATAGCGAGAAACGTAGAAACGTAGGAGGAGGAGGAGGAGGAGGAGGAGGAGGAGGAGGAGGAGGAGTTTGTGCTGGTGGGGCCAAGGGGTGCAGTCGAGACTAGCAGCCAGCGGCCTCGCGCTTAGGGCGCGAACAGGTGGCTGACGGGCACCTCCCAAGAGGGGAAAGGGGGAGGAAGAGGGGGGACGAGTGCCACCGTCAGGAAAAAACAAAACTAAAACGGGAGCGGACCCAGGACCGACCACACCTCAATCCTCATCCTCATCCTCGGAACCAGGAAGGACCTCCAGGCCCTTAAATGTGTGGTCGAGGGCGAATGAGCCAAAGGGGGTGGGGCGGGGTCCGACTCCCGAGACCCGAAGCTCGATCCCACTGCGGGGGTGGCAGCCGCGCCACAGCTTACGCAGGCGGTCCCACGCCACGGGCCCACGCTGGCAGCTTCCACGGCAACTTTGACCGAGCTTCTGGGTGTTGTGTTCACTGTAGGCGCCACGAACACTACAGAACACGAAAGGGCCCACCGTCCAAACGCGGTGGCCCACACCTGGCTTGCAGGGGGTGGCTTTCAAAATCTGGACCGTGCCTCCCGAACGCAGGCACTTGATGCACCTGAAGCCACCCTTGGGAAACCAGACAGGGTCGTCGGAGCCCTCGGGAGGCACAGCATCGTCCGAGAGCCGAGGGACGATTCGCCGCCCCCTCTTGAGCCCCACCTCACGGCGGGAGGCGGACGCCAGGCCTGGCCCCGCTCCACGGATAGTCCTGGCCAGGTACTTTCCAACACACTGGACCAACCGATCAGAACGGATCACACGTTCCTCGGCATCCTGATCAGAAGGGTGGAGGGCGACGCCAGCACGCGCCGCCTCGTCAGCAGCCTTGTTGCCGAGCCGCCGCCACCTCGCACCCTCGTCAAGGTCATCATCGCGCCCTCGCGCATGACCCTTGACCTTGGTCACCACGATCTCACCCCCCAGGTCGCGCACGCGGTCCCAAACCCCCTCCCATAAGTCAGCACAGGCGTGCATGGCTCCTGTAGTCTCGCAGCGCCCCTTGCGGAAGCTCGAGACCACCCAATCACAATCAGAAAGGTACTCGTATGGGCCGAGACCGACATTATCAAGATACATCTTGAAAGCGAACAATTCCGCCACCTCTGAGCTCTGGTTTAAACTTGGGAGGGGGCCGCGCAGCGAGGCCAGGACGTCCAAACCGCTCGAATTCACCTGCCCCCCCCCCATCCAGCCCTGCGCAGCCTGGGGTCGGTGGCCACAAGAGAACTACACGAGCCATCGCCGAAGCATGGGCCTTCAAAGGCCCCCGTGGGAGGACGCACACGCCAGTGAACGAGCAGATCCATCGTGGGACGAGGGAGCCAAGGTCGAGGGTCGGCCACGAGGCCGTGGCACCAAAGGGGCCAATCGGGATGGTTCAAAGCACCCTCTCGGAGGGAAGGTGGCACTAGGTAATCACGTCGGAAAGCCCATGTGCACGCACAGTCCCCCCAACACCAGTGACCCACCGTCCCAGGCGCCTCCCCGCAGAGCGAGCACATTGGGCTATCCTTAAGACCAGCGCTGCGCAGCCGCTCGTCCCCCCAGAACCCATTGGCAGCCAGACAACGAACCGTGGCCTTATGCATGCCAGTCCAGTCGTCATCAGTGCGCCTGGACACGAGGGCCTTGAGTGGGGCGAGGCAGGGGCCGTGGGAGAGAGACTGGAGGTAGTCTTCTCCACAGCGGGCCTTGTCGAGGAGCCATGCCTCGACCCCCCCACGGGGCAACCATCCTCACGGTACGGGGGCATTCACGACATAGATCAAGCACTTCACCATCAGCCGTACAGAGCTTCCCCACACCAGTTCCAAGAGCCCACCCAATCCTGAAACAAGAGGCCAGCGCAGCTGAGACGGGGCCCACGACCTTACTCCACGGCGGGCGGGCCTCACGAAGGGACTTATCCGCGTCGAAAAGCATGCGGCAGAGGATCTCCCGAGGCACCCAAGAGTCCCAGAAGGCCTGTGCAAGCATCGCGATGGGGTTCACCGCGCAGGGGTAGGCGGGGTCGACAGCCGTGGTATCTCCAAGAACCAACGTCAGATCGATGGTGAGGGATCTGCGAGCCGTGTGGGGGACCAAGGCAGCCCGTGCAGCCCTCCTGAGGGCCATCACACCGCTCCAAGACCTTCCAGTGACCCCATCGCCCCAAGTCCCAGCAGGGACGAGCCCCATGCTGACAAGCTGCTTGCATTTACCCCTGGCCCTGCGGGGTGCCCTGATTCTTACACTGCGCCGTATTACCTTGCCCAGGCGCCCCAGCCGCGTCTGCATGCCGTGCCGCTTGCCGCAGCTGTAGTCGCAGCCCAGGTTGCGCGTCGACTGGTCTCTGGCCTGTATGAACGAGGGGCAGCGCTTGCCGAGGTCCACGCTGGCCTGGAAATCGTTGCCGACGAGCTTGCCCTTCTTTTCGTTCAGCAGCAGCTCGGCGTCCTGCAGGGCACTCCTAGCTTGGCGATACGCCTTGCTGAGCTGCTGCGCCACATTGGCCCTAGCGCCTGTGGCCTGCATCTGGATATCGTCGGCCACGTTGCCGACTGAAATCCCAGGTCGCACCACCAGGTCGTCCAAAATGGGAATGGGAAAAGCGCGCATCATCAGATCTGCAAAGGAGCATCCAGCCACCACGCCGCGCATGGGCGTCATCCGGTCGAATACAATGCCTTCGCATGAGAGGAACCTGGGCATGGCGTACAGCTTGATCAGCAGCCGTAGCAAGCACATGTTGAACCCAAGTTCGTTGGCTCGAGCAGTCAGACGATGCCAGCTGATATACTCGTATGCTTTGGACAGGTCCAGCAGAATGGACAAGCAGGTCTTACCACTGTGCGTGGCCCACTCGCCCGCAGCAGCCTGCCGCCAGACTCATGCCTCACAGCTCTGACCCTCAGTGCCGAAGATGTAGCTGCGCTTGTTCTTGTCCGACCGCTGCGCACCCACCGTAGCCCGCAAGAACCGAGTCAGCTGCCTCACCGTGCCAGGGAAGATGCCGATCGTACGCCGTCCACCGTCAGGTTTCGGCAAAAGCGCTTCTCGCATAACACGAATTGGGGCCGGGACGTGGCCAAGCTGCAGCATCGAACTCCAGAGCGTCAGCAGTGCCTGAAGTGCCTCATCACTGAGAAAAATCATGTGGCGAGGGTGAACAACGTCACAGCCCAGCCCAGTGTCTGACTTGAAGGTGTGCGCCGTCTTCCGAAGGTCGTCGATCGTCGGCAGCTCGATCACGCCGATGTCGTCAGGCCAAAGTACTGCCCCGATGCCCTGGCCATGCCCCCATGGGTCGTGCCAGGGTTGGACAGCGTCACGTGCTTCGTCCGCGATAGACTTAGCGACGCCTGGCCCTGCCGTGGCGTTGGTGCACGCCCGCGGGGCATCCTGCTTGATCCACTTGTATGCGCGCCGCATGCTGCCGTCGGTGGTGGAGTCGTGGGACCAGTCCACCCACGCCTTGTAGCGCCGATATGAGGCTTGGCTAGCCGCACGGTCGGCGCACTTCTTCAAGTCGTGCATCAAGTGGTCGAGGTCATCCTCGCTCAGACGGTCCAGTCGTCGTACCAAGGAGCGCCAGGCTTCCCACGTTTCAGACCAACGTGTGGGCTGTGGGAGGGCGTACTTCATAAGACGTAGCTGTAGGCGCCATAGTCGTTGCTGACCGTCGCGGCTGGGGTTGGAGTGGACCGCTGCACGCCGCCATCTCCATTCGCGAAGCCGCTGGGCTAGCCACTGCCAGTGTCCTTCGCTCGGGTCAGCGGCGCCGCGCCCTTTCGCCTGACCGCGGCAGTGCATCTGCAGGGTCGAGTACACAAGGCGAATGCCGTCGGAGCGTCCACGGTATCGCTCAGGCTGCTCGCAGCCGAAGTGGTGTAGCAGCTCGTCCTCATAGCGCCCCAGCCAGCCACAGAACGCCGCGTCCAGCTCGCTCGTCGTGTCGACTGCCGCAGCCATGTCCTGCACCGCCTGCCAGTCAGGTCCAGGTAGCTGTGGCCCCACAAGCTGTCTCGAAGGAAAGGCCTTGAGCGGGACGTGTTGGACATTAAGCTCCCAAATGACGCCCTTGTGCGGGGTAACGGATAGTCCATCGAAGGTGCGGGCTCTGCAGCCATGCAGATCCTGACGAACCAAGAAATAGTCAATGACCCTGGCGCTGTTGGCGGTGTAGCACGTGGCTGGGTCGGGCGCGACTACCTCTCCCTTCGCCGCCTTGGGCCACCGCAGGCAGTTGAGGGACTCAGGTAGGTTCTGCCAATCCCCTCCCAGCACGTAGGGCCGATCAGCTGCATGGAGCACGCTGCCGATCTGAAACAGGAGGTCGAGGTTGACGTCCTCTAAGTCCTTGCTGGTGCGCAGGTACAGGCCAGCCAGCACCAGCCCCTCCTTGGGCCCCAGGTCTGTGGTCCAGAACCCCTGACGTGCCGTGCCAGGCGCGTGGATCCCGTCGTGGTTGAATTGCAGGCGCCGAAAGGCAACGTGGGGCCTGGCCAGGAGCCCGACGCCTCCCGTTGTGCCGTCGCCGTTGCCAGTGCGCCGAGCAGGGCGCAGGTCCGCCTTCCAGCCGTGCGCCTTGGCAGCCTTCATCGCCGCCTCGAGCCTGGCCTCATCCAGGTGGTGCTCCTGAGCACCGCCTGCGCGTCATCGGGGATGCGCTTCTCCTCCAGCTGCGTAAGGAGGGAGCCCCAACCAGTGACGTTGACGGTCATGATCTTGCAGGCTCTGCCCCGATGCCGGCCCGTCGGTCTCGCCGAGGCCCTGGGCGACGCAGCCCCCTCAGGGCCCCCCCCCCGCCGTCTCTCTCTCTAGCCGACCGAGGGCCGACCTGGCCCAGCTGGACCGACGCAGATGGCTTGCAAACCGCGACCGCTCTCTGAGATACGGCGGGGTCAGCATTCCGAAACCCAAGAAGCCCAAGGGGTCGACACCCGGAGCACGCGATGGCTTGTGGCCTGCATCTGATGTACGTACCAGTCCCATTCTGTGGCGCAGCGTGCCCAGCTCGCGGTCGGGCTGCTCCAGCGCGAAGTCCCCGCCGACGCCGACGACCGAGAGCGCGTGCCCGCCGCGTCGCAGTAGTGCTGCATCGACGTATAGCGGCTTCACCGCATCGTCGGAACTCGCCGTCGTGGAGCCACCCGAATCATCAAGGTCGCTGCGCTCGAGGTCAGCAAGTTCGAGGTCTCGCTGGAGATCAGGTGTGCTCTGCCTCTCTGGGTCTGTCCTTCCAGACTCAGATGTCGGGGCCAGCCTCGCCCTGCCAGTCAGCGTGCGTCAAGCCGCCCTGGTCAAAGGACCTGTAGAAGTGAAAAATGTTGCCGTCACACTCGCTGTCCTGGTAGAAGTAGTCCCCCGAGACTGGACCAGGCCCCCGTGCAGGAGAGTAGGCAGGAGAGGAGAAAGTCCACTGCTAATCAGCACAGTGCCCCACGTAGTAGTTGCCAACCCAGTCGCGGCACCTCCTCGGAGGTGGATCGCCCACAGGAGCTGGAGAGGCGTCATCTTCATGGACTTGTAGTGGTCGATGGTGTAGGTGCCCAGCATCGGGGCCGTCAAACAGACGTCCGTGGGGGGGGAGCGGTCCCGCCGCTGCTGCCAGCGCCGCGGCCAGCGCCTTTGGCAGCGGCTGCCAGCCTCGCGCGCGCCGCCTCCACCACGTCGTTGTTGGCCTCGGCCGAGGGTCCACCTGGGGCGGCGGCGCCGCCAGCAAGGACTGCAGGTGCGCCAGCCTCGGGGGCTGCCGTGGCGCCCGCGGCCGCCGCTTGAACAGTCGCCCCCTCCTCCGCTGCATCTGCAGTTTTGCGCTTCCGCTGGAGGCGGTTCTTGAGCTCCGCGCGCTGCCGCTCGAGCTCGCGGGCCTCGGAGGCGAACTTGCCGAAGGCATCCTGCGCCATGGCCTTGAACCTGGCCTGAAGGTCGGCCTTCCTCCTGGCGGCCTCCTCGCGGTCGGACTCCTGGATCTCGTAGTCCTCGAGGGCCTCCAAGCCGAAGAGTCCCTCGTCGTCGAGCTCCACGTCGTCGCCCTGGAGCAGCTTGGCGATGGACAGCCGCCCCGGCTGTGCCTCGCCAGCCGTCGGCGGTGCGGCGCCAGCCACCTGCTGCGCCAGGGCCTGCACAGCTGTAGTGTAAGCCGCCAGAGCCGCGTCATACTGGGCGGAGCGGGAGGCCACCACCGCCTTGGCACTGTCCAACTGGGTCTGGAGCGATTCGGCCTGCTCGACGGCCTTGTCCAAGGCTTCGGCTGCTGCGTCCCTGGCTGCCATAGCCTCGTCGACCGACAATGGCCGCGCCCGACGAGCGCTGCGGAGGTCGTCGAGCTGCTGCTGGTACTTCCGCACACCAGACTCATCCTGGCTGAGCTGCAGCAGACTGATGAGCTGCACCAGCTTGGCCTCCTCGGGGTCGGCGTCGCTCCCGCTGGGCAGCTCCTCCACGCTGGCCAGGGCAAAACGCACCCTGGACCCCTCACGCGGCCGTCCTCCTGCCGCGTCAGCTCTGCCGCCAGTGCCGCGCTGCAGGCTGTCGCGCCGTGCCACGGCTCCGTCGTCTTGCCAGGGCGCACGCTGTGGGCCAGCACGCCGTTCAGCAGAGCGAAGGCGGCGAGGAGGAGCCTGGGACGGCATGATCTCGCCCTTGCAGTGCTTGCAGAACCTCCACCACGCCTCGTTCTTGCGACATCCGCATGTCGGGCACGGGGTTCCACCCGCGAGGGCGGCCAGGCCGTCACCGCTGCACCCCTGCCGCGGTCCCCGTGCTGCTCCCGCTGGGGCGGCACCACGTGAGCCATGCATGGGCGGCTGGCTGCCGTGGTGCGCCAGCAGCAGCAGGCGGTCACGGTGCCGCCGTAGCCGAGCACGAGCGTCAGACCGCAGGCGCCGCTCCCTGCGGTGCCACGCAGGCGAGCGCTCGCGCTCGCGAGGTCGCCCCACCGTGGGGCTGGGGGCTATCGCACGGCGGGCGCGCCCGCCGCAGGGCAACGGCTGCGGGCCGCCGCGCGCTGCGAAACCACCTAGGAGGAGGAGGAGGAGGAGGAGGAGGAGGAGGAGGAGGAGGAGGAGGAGGAGGAGGAGGAGGAGGAGGAGGAGGAGGAGGAGGAGGAGGAGGAGGAGGAGGAGGAGGAGGAGGTCCCGAACGACGTGGCCTGGGCCCCACGGGCCAATGTGCCCCCCCTGGACAAGGATGTGGGCCGTTCCCTGCGGGTCTCGAGGGGTGCATCCCCATGAACCGGGGTGGTAGCATGGTGGGTTTCTGGATGGGGATGGGGAGAAGGGGTTAAGGGGTCGGATAAAGGATCCTGAGAGATCCAGACATCCGACGTGTTGGCACACATCGGCACGGTTGTTTTTCTCAATTGTCGGCCTCGAGGGGCCCTCGCCGGGCCCCGGGGCAGCCACGGCACGGCCCGGGGCAGCCGTGCCAGACGCGGGATCTCTGGCGACGAGGCGAGGCGGGCGAGCCGCAGCGGCAACTCGCTGCGAGGGCCGCCCACGGACTGCGAGGGCCGACGTGCGGGCTGCGGGCGGCGGACTGTGGGTGCGGGAGAGGGTGCGTGTGCGGTGGGCAGGACGAGGGCCGCGTCTTCGGCTCTGCGCGGGTGCGCGCCCTGAGGGCGACGGCGGAGAGGGCCGTGGCCCCTCACTGGGCACCGGAACTGGGCGCGGCAAGGGGGGGGGAGAAGGAGGAACATGGAAGAACGGGAGGAAAGGGGGGAGCAGGAGGAGGACGAGGAGGAGGAGGAGGAGGAGGAGGACGAGGAGGACGCGGAGGAGGAGGAGGAGGAGGATGAGGAATAGAAAGATGAAGAGGAGGAGGAGGAGGAGAAGGAGGAGGAGGATGAGCATAAGGATGAGGATGATGCTGATGATCATAATGAGGAGGAGGCGGCGGTGGCGGTGGCGGAGGAGGAGGACGCGGAGGAGGAGGATGATGAGGATGAGGAGGATGAGGATGATGATGCGGATGATGACGATGAGGCTGATGATGCTGCTGATGATGATGCTGAGGATGATGATGCTGATGATGTTGATGAGGATGATGACGACGACGATGACGATAACGATGGCGATGATGCTGCTGCTGATGATGAGGAGGAGTACAATGAGGAGGAGGAGGATGAGGTTGTGGAGGAGGAGGAGGAGGGGGAGGAGGAGAAGAGGAGGTGGAAGTGGAGGTTGCGAAGGAGGAGGAGGAGGAGGAGGAGGAGGAGGAGGAGGAGGGAAGAAGAGGGAGGAGGAGGAGAAGGAGGGGGAGGAGGAGGAGGTGGGGAAAAGGAGGGGGGGGAGAACTGAGCTGACGATGATGACGGTAGTACTCATAATGATGGTAGTGCTGATGATCCCGCACGGCTGTGCGGTCAAGGCGGTGCGACTGTTTGTGATGGTGATGATTATGGTACTGGCGAAGACGACGAGGATGATGATGATGATGATGACGATGGTGATGATGATGATGATGATGATGATGATGATGATGATGATGATGATGACGACGACGATGATTGAGGGGAGAAGGAGGACGAGAAGGACAGGCTACCATGAGGAGATGAGCCCGTCCTCCTCCCTGTCCCTCCCCCCTCTTTTCCTCTCTACTCCTCTCGACTGTCGGCCTCGCCTCCCTGTCCTCAACGCGCCCCTCCTCCCTTCTTCCCCCCCCTGGCCACCCTCAACCATCCTCTCTCTAGATGGGCATACAGCCACAGATAAAGGCATTACATGAATGATAGGCGAATTGGCTTTGCGATGGCTCAGGATATGCTATGCAACGGCCTTCTGCTGGGCACGGACATGTCAGCATGAGCTGAACCTGGCCGAGCCGAGCTCAGCTGAGGTGGGGGATGAGGAAGACCGAAAGAGGGTAGTGTCGGGGCACAGTCTTCCACTAGAGCAGCCTAGATAGCTCATCACTACCTCAGCAATGCATCGGGGCAACTTGACGCAGAGGAGGAACCATACCTCAGACGCATCCTCCTTGTTGTTACAACCGACCCCCCACCCGAGCTCTCGGGGACGGGCTTGTCGTCGCCGACGATCTGATGCTGGTCACTTAGTCCCGGGACGCCGAATTTGGAGAAACTACGGCGGAGCTTTGTTCCGTGAGTCTCGGAGGTCTGGAAAGGAGGAGCATGCGGAGGCCGCGGAGAAGGATGATGGCGAGGCGGAGGGTTAGCAGGATGGCCAGCGTCGGCCGATGCCCATGCCATGGGGAGGTGAAGGAGGAGGAGAAGGAGGAGGAGAAGGAGGAGGAGAAGGAGGAGGAGAAGGAGGAGGCGGAATATAACGATGATGATGATGCTGCTGATGATGATGACTACGCGGAGTAAAATTTTGAAGGAAGAGGAGGAAGATGATACGGATGACGAGGAATACGGGGAGGAGGAAGAGGAGGAGGAGGATGAGGAGGAAGATACGGAAGAAGGGGGGGAGGAGGAGGAGGAGGAGGAGGAGGAGGAGGAGGAGGAGGAGGAGGAGGAGGAGGAAGAGGAGGAGGAGGAGGAGGAGGAAGAGGAGGAGAGAAGGATAATCATGAGGAGGAGAAGGAGGAAGAGGAGGAAGAGGAGGAGGATACTCATGAGGAGAAGGAGGAGGAGGCAAATGAGGAGGAGGAAGAGGAGGAGGAGGTAAGGAATGATGATGATGCTGCTGCTGAGGATGATGATGATGATGATGTGTTGATGTTGATGATGTCATGCTGTTGTTGATGATGACGCTGACGATGACGATGGCGGGATTACGATGATGGTACTGCTGATGTTTATGCTGATGCTGATGATGCTGATGGTGCTGATGGTGAGGATGCGTGGTGGTGGTGATGATGCTGATGAGGATGACGAGGATGATGTTGCTGCTGGTGATGGTGATGCTGATGACGATGGTGATGATGGAGGCGCTGATGATGTTGATGATGCTGATGCTGGTAATGAAGATGACGATGGTGCTGCTGCTGCTGATGCTTACGATGATGCTGACAATGGCGAGGATGCTGCTAATGCTAAATATGATGGCGAAGATGCTGATACCGATGACGATGATGCTGCTGATGGTGATGATGATGATGATGCTGCTGATGATGCTGATGACGATGATGATGATGATGATGATGCCGAGGATGATGCTGATGCTGAGGTTGCTGATGACGATGCTGATGCTGATGATGCTGCTGATGACGATGATGCTGATGCTGCTGCTGCTGCTGCTGATGATGAGGGTGATGATGATGGTGATGATGATGGTGCTGATGCTGATGCTGATACTGATGCTGATGCTGATGATGCTGCTGCTGCTGATGATGATGATGATGCTGATGATGGTGATGTTGATGGTGCTGCTGCTGCTGGTGATGCTGCTGATGATGATGGTGATGCTGATGCTGATGGTGATGATGCTGATGCTGATGGTGATGATGCTGATGGTGGTGATGCTGCTGCTGATGTTGATGATGATGAGGAGCAGGAGGAGGATGAGGAAGGGGAAAGGGGATGACGAGGATGAGGAGCACGGGGGAGCGCCACTGCCGCCGTCGCCAGGGGCAACGCAGCGCCCCGCCGCGGGCCGTGGCGGCGGCGGCCGCGGCGCCCGACCGCCCCTACGGGGCCTCGGGGAACCAGCCGCGGGGCGGCTCTCCGCTGGCGTCCTGGCGCGCCCACGTCGGCCGTCGCCGCGATCGTCGCCGTCGCCGCCGCCGTCGTCGTCGTCGTCGTCCTCTCCCTCCTCCTCCTCCTCCTCCTCCTCCTGAATCTCCCCCTCCACCTCCTCCCTCTCCTCCTCATCCGCGGGGGAAGAGGAGGAGGAGGAGAAGGAGGAGGAGGAGGCGGAGGAGGAGGAGGAGGATGAAGAGGACTTAGGGCCGTACATGAACAATACATCCGAACCATGCAGGGCGCAATCTGCCCCCCTCCCATGCGCGGAAGAAACGCCCGAAACGAAATCAGGCGCTCAGCCCGAGGCTTTCGTGGCGAGGCTGGCACGTGCTCCCCCCCGTTTCAAGGGTCTCGGTCCGACGGGAATCTAGCGGGAGACGCAGACCCTCGCTCCAAGCACTGGGCGTTCCCTGCAGTTAGCTGGAGCGAGCCGTCCTCAGAGCACGACTGGGAGAGAGGAGGCAGGAGGGGAGGAGGAAGGAGGGACAGGAAGATGCAGAGACGGAGGTAGGAGTCCCCCGGGCCAAGCTCAGGGCGACTCGCCATCCATCGTTCGACTCAAGGCATCATACCTTGCCAGCAGGTCGGTGTGCCGCTCGAGCCCCTCCTCCTGCTTGGAATACGAGAAGTGTGCGGCGAGCGCACGGCCTACGGCGCACCCGCGGCTGTTGGTGCGATGCGGCACCATGACCGCCAGCTCGGACTCGTCGTCTTCGGCCAGGTCATCCCAATCTACCTCCTTGAGGTCCTCCGCCGTGAACGCTATCATATTGATGCTCCAGCGAGTGTGCTGGAACGGCACAAAGCGGTCACCCCTGTAAGACCCGTGGCCGTGCGCGTGGAAATCATGCCAACCAAAATCATACGCACACTGCGTGCCATCCTCGAGCCTGGACAAGAAACTCTCGTGCATCCATGCCGCGCATTCCCAGCGCCTCCAGACGCAATCGCTCTGCGCGTGCTTCTCGACGGGGAGGATGGGCATCGCGTCGTCCACGCGCTGCCAATGCCGTGGGCCATGCTCGGGCAACGCTGCGTCCGTCACGGCACCCTCTGACGTTGCGTCTTCCAGCGGGAAAAAGGTGCGGATGGCGCCGATATCCTGGTGCACCGCAGACAAGATTGCGTGGTTCACCACGTTCGCAGAGACGATGCCGCAGCGTCCGCGCATCCTCTCCCTCACCATCTCTGGAATAGTTTCGTCGGCCAAAAAGACAACATCGTCGTCGATCTTTACGTAAACAGTCTCGGGCTCAGTGCAGATCGAATAGAACTTGGCCAGGCGCCTTCCGGTCACTGGAGGTATGACGTACACTGGTGCGTGCGCGGCCACCAGCTCGTCCAGCCAGACGAGGTCCTGCGTGGTCGCAAGGTACACCACGAAGGAGACGCGGTCCACCACGCCGCCATTGACGCGCAGGTTCCTGAGCAGGTACCTGTGCAAGATCTCCACGCGCTCGCGCCGGCCAAACACGACCACGACCTCCACTCGCTGGGCCTCGAGGCCCGCAGCCAGGGCGGCCCTGTCAGGTGGCGGGCAGCGCGGAGACCGCGGATCGGGCGGCGGCGCGCCGCGGGCCACCAGGCCCGCCGCGGGCTGCCTGCCCCGCCCCGCGCTCTCGCCGAGCGCTAGCTGCTCCGCCAGCGCCAGCAGGTCCAGCACGGGCCACGCCGTGGTCAGGAGGTCCAGGAAGGGCAGCCGCTCCGGCTCCCAGCCCTTCGCCGCGCGCTCCGCCAGCCGCAGCAGGCGCTCCGCCTCCGGCGGCAGCCCGCCCCCCGGCGCGCCCGCCGCCAGCGCCGCGGCGAGCACCAGGTGCGCCGTCGCCACTGCCAGCGGGCAGGTCCTGCCCGGCGCCGCGCGCTGCAGCAGCTCTGCTGCGGCGGCCAGCGGCAGCGCCCGCGCGGCGGCGCGGGCGCCGCCAGGCGACGCGCCGAGGAGAGGCCCAGAGGCCGTGGCCTCGAGCAGCTCCGCCTCCACGGCGGCCTGCTCGGAAGCGCCGTCCCCGCCGAGTCCGTCGCACCCGCATGCCGGGTAAGTCTGCGCCGGGTCGGCGCGCGCGCTCTCCCGCAGCCGCGCGAGCGCACGCAGCAGCGGCCAGCCCCCTCGCGGCCGCCACTCCAGCGCGTAGAAGCCGCTGCCGAATCGGTGGAGGAGGTGCCACGCGCGCTCTGCTGTGCCGGCGTGCACGAGCTGCCATGCGGAGAGGACGAAGCGGCCAACCTCCGAGGGAACACGATAAAACAGCTGCCGCTGCCCCCGCGGTCCCCTTCCAAGGCGCGTTTCTGACCAGGATTCCGAACCGAGCGGAGCCGTGGCGGCGAGGGCCAGCCAGCAGGCCCAGAAAGGCGGGCAGTGGGATAGCCAGGCCGCCCACATAGGGTCCGAGTAAATGGGGTCGAGGGATCGTGCCGCATCGCCGATGTATCGCCGATGCATCGGCGACATCGGCGATGCATTGGCGATGTGGCGCGATACTTCGGCAGAATCTGCTCAGAACCCATTTGGGAGGCCTCGAGGGAACTGTATCGACATCGGTATTCTCCTTATCTGAACCTCGCAGCCGGCGCTGTCCCAACCCGCTTCCAGGGCGGCCTCCTCGAGCACCATCCGCGCGACAGTGTTCGCGCTAGGATCACCGCGGCCGTCGTCTGCGACCGACCCGGCGCCGCCATCCAGTGCCTGTCGCACGCGGCTCCAGTGCGGGCTCTCGCAGCCGTCCTCGAACTCCGCCGTGCTCTGGGCGTCCGCCAGGCCGCGGCGCGGCAGCCACGGCGCTGCCACCAGGCAGGGCGCCAGCGTGGGCCAAGAGCGGCGCCGTCGCCAGACCATGGGGAGCGGCGCGTGACCATTGCGCGGCGCCGTGGGATGTGTGGGCTCCCGTCTGAGCCAAAACGGCTACAGGGGGGCTACACTGGGGGGCTGCGCACGGGGGGCTACGCTTTGGCGCTGTTCATGGGGGCAGCGCATGGGGGCTACACATAGGTACACGTGGGGTCTAGAAATGGAGGCTACACTTGGGGGTGGTTCGCCCGCGCCACCACCACACCTCACTCGTATCCGCAAGTGAGGGACGCTACGTGTTTTCCCCCTCGCAACGTACGGAGGAGAAGCGGGATCTGACCAAAGCGGGAGAAGCGCCAATGAGCACCAGACAAAGGGACCCTGATCCAGACGTTGCTGGTCCGACGCCCTGGCACCTCAATCTGCCCTTGCTGGCGCCAGCAGTCCAGTGCGCACGTCGGACGGGATACCCTCAAATATCCAGCGTGCCCCTCCGCGCTGAGATCTTCCAGCAATTGTGCACGACGGCACGCCATCGGGTCGACGCCTCCACGAAAGTGGCTTTAACATCTCTGGGCCACAGGACGTTGACCTCTCTTGGGTAACCAAGTCTGACTCCCGCTCGCTGGCTTTCGCCAGCGAAGCCTCGCCAGGAGGAAGGCCCAGGCTTCCGACATCGTGACGCCCTGGTGACGTGCCCCTCCCTCCCCCAAGGCCAATTTCTCAATAACCAGGTCCAGGTCCAGGAGACCCCCTCCTCCTCCTCCTTCCTCCTCTCCTCCTCCTCTCCTTCCTCCTCCTCCTCCCCTCCTCCCTTCTCCTCCCCCTCCTCCTCCTCCCCCTCCTCTCTCCTCTCTCCTCCTCCCTCCCTCCCTCCCTCCCTCCCTCCCTCCCTCCCTCCCTCCCTCTGCTCCTCCTCCTCCTCCTCTTCCTCCTCTCCTCTCCTTCCTCCTCCTCTCTCACTCCTCCTCCTCCTCCTTTCCTCCTCTCCTCTTCCTCTCTTCCTCCTCTTCCTCCTCTTCCTCTTCCTCCTCCGCCTCCTCCCCCTTCTCTTCCTCCTCGCCTCCTCCACCTCCTCCTCCTCTCCTCTCCTCTCCTCTCCTCCTCCTCCTCCTCCAGGGTCTGATCGGATGCCGCTCCCGACCCGTCCCCCAAGGCCAACTTCGCACCCCGGCTCGTGTCTGGCCCTAGAGGCCCGGGATGGGCCTCGAAAAGCCCAAGCTGAAGGCACACTGGCCGCCACCGCCGCACAGCGCGGCGTGCCGGGGGGGGGGGAGGAGGAGGAGGAGGAGGAGGAGGAGGAGGAGGAGGAGGAGGAGGAGGAGGAGGAGGAGGAGGAGGAGGAGGGGAGGAGGAGAGGAGGAGGAGGAGGGGAGGAGGAGGAGGAGGAGGAGGAGGAGGAGGAGGAGGAGGAGGAGGAGGAGGAGGAGGAGGATGAGGAGGAGGAGGAGGAGGAGGAGGAGGAGGAGGAGGAGGAAGGAGGGCACTTCGGCGTGTGGGCGGCACGTTGAGGCTCCTGGGGTGAACTGAAATCATCCAAGACTTTGCTTGCGCAGGGGCGGCGTGGCGGGCCAAGGGCGTCGGTGCCCTGACAGGCCTTGGGCGGCCTCCCCCGAACTCCAGCGGTGGTCCCGCTGTGGTTCGGGTCTGCCGTCTCAGGTCCCTCGGGGACCTGGCGTTCTGGGGCCGCGAAGGTACCCCCCCTGGGACGGCGTGGATCTCGGTCCGCGTCGTCCTGTGGGTGTCTGCTCCTGCGGGGGCAGGCCCCAGCCACTGTGGTCCCACCTGACACCCCTTGGGCAAAGGGGTCAGCGGGGGTGGGCCTGGACACCTATGGCCTTCCCGCACCGCGTGCCCCGCGCGGTGGCCCGTTGGGGGTGTCCAGTGTCACCTGATGCTGGAAGAGCCAGGTAGGCATGGGGGCCGCTCACCTTCGGTGAGTCGGTGCTGCACGTCGTGCAGCACATGTGAGGCCGGCGCCTCTTTCGTTCTCCCTTTTCTTTTCTTTTCTTTCTCTTCTTTTTCCCCCCTCGCCCCGTCGGCAGGTTGGCGTCCGCTGTAGCTCCTGGCAGGCGCGGGGGGGTGGCGCGTTGGCCGCCCCCCACTGATAGTGGCGTGGAGGCTTCATCTTGCGCTGGGGCTGTGTCGAGGAGCAGGAGGAGGAGGAGGAGGAGGAGGAGGAGGAGGAGGACCGTGCCGTCTGCGCCTCCTACGGTCGAGAACCTCTGCTCAGTATGTCGCGGTGGCGGCTCTGGCGACACGCCCTGCCGCTGCGCCGAGGATAGCGTGTCGCTCCGCTTCGCGAGACGGGACGCTTCGAAAGGCTCGGGATGCTGCCGTTGTCGAGGGCGGCCAAGAGGGGTGCGTCCACGAGGGGGGCGCAATTCGTGGCCGGCGGCATGTGCGCGGCCCGAGAGGGGGGGGGGTCGGGGACGTATTGAAATAAGAATGGGCGCCATGAAATCTGGGAAGCTGTCATGGCCCCCGCCATGATATCCCCCCCCCAATCATCACCCCCCTCTTGGGCGTTCGAGGGCCGGGATATGGC